AAAAAAAGAGTTCACTGAAGAACCTATTCACTTCATTGTCTTTGGAGCATGTTGTCCCAACCCAGGTGTCCTGGCGCGCCCCGCCAGTGTATTGGCGGTGTCTTACAAGAGTGTAATAGGGATGCCCGGTCTTGAGAAAGGAACGGAGCAGGGGAAATAATCTCGGGTAGGTGGTCCAGTCTAATCTATCTCTTCCTCTCCGTAATTGAAATGGAAATTTGAGCCAGCTCCAGCTCAAAACTATGAAACTCCATCCAAGGAACCAACCGTGTCCAGCTTCGGGGCCAACAGAACGACGATCCCGGCGCTTCCAGGCCACAAAGCACCTTGTGAAACTCGTTGAACACTGGCAGTTGCATCCTTCACACCCTCTCCCCCAGCCTCAACCTAGGTCGGGAACTAAATCCTTAGTATGAGATTATTCTAGGCTGCCATTCAACTGTATCCGGCGATACTGCAAAACTTCTCCATGGAAGGGGTAACGTCCTGCATTGCTTCAGAATTCCTTGGCTCTTTCAGCCAGGGAATGGACCCGACCAAACTTCTTTCTTCAGAAAAGCCCCTGAGCCAGCAGTTTCTGATTCTTAAGGTCAAAGAGTGCCGGGCCCGCAGAGGTGCGGGGGTCCAGCAATTTGGGTTGCACCTGGTCGGTACAGAAAATGGGAGTTTGGAAAGGCAAGACTTAACAGTGATACCGTCACCCTTAAGCATGGGGCTTGGAGCTAGGGAAAGTGTTATGGCCTGGGCAGTTACAGAGATTGCACAATTAGAAGGGCGTGGGTTTTTCCAACACGGAGATAACTTTTGCGATTAAGAGATGGTGTCCAGTGTATACCAAGGCTTGAGACAGATTCACCTGTTTTCCCCAGAGTTTCTTGTCCGGAAACTACGAAGTTGATTCCAGGACCAAGCGGTGGATTCCGACCAATTTTCTTTCCATTCCTGCAGAGGCTGCTGAAGCAGGTGGAGCTTGCAGGGGGGCTGGGAAGCAGAGGCTGCAGGCATCCAAACCCTGAGCAAGGAATCCAGCACTTGTGAAAAGTGCCGGCAGTGGTGTGGGACTAGCATACCTCACTGTGGGAGGCACAGCTGGGTTTGTCAAAAGTGCTTTACTATTATTATTATTATTTAAAAGAACCTAAATTGTCTTTCCATATCCCTTCCTCTTATGGGACAATAGTGTTTGTTTATGCTATCTAATTCAGTAACTCAGCTTGAGTGGATTTCCCTGCCTTCCTCACACCCACTGCCTCTAGAACAAGTACCTGCTCTGAATTTCCTCTCAGTTCGTTCTCACCACCTGTTGGTGGCCCTGCAAGTTGTTACCATACACCACAAATTCACAAGCTAAACTTCATGCAAACTCCAGAGATCCTTTCCAGGAAACTCTAGAGCAGGGGACCAGAAGTGCCTTTGCCCCACCCCACCCAGACCTCAGTACTCTCAGAGGCAGTTTATACACTACCCTATCCCACCTTCCTGAATTCTACAAGGATCCAAATCTGATTTCTACTGTGGAATGGAAAGGAAGATAAAAAGCCACTTACAAATGTCTTTCTTAAGCTCAAAATGTCTTTTGGTGGAAAGTCTGCGTAGACCAACATTGTATTAAATCAAAATTCCTTTCCATCAACAAAAACAAGTGGTTACTACCTAAGAGAAAGAGTATGTATTTCAGAATATTTCTGGGGTTCCATTAACAGTTCATTCTCTTGACAAGTTGAATGATCTGGAGTAAATCACTTGACCTCCAATTCCATGTTTTAAATCAGTAAAATTGGGTTAACAAAGTAAATTTTATAGTTAAATGAGACAGTGGCAGGAAAGAAATATACTATGCTGGTAGCATATATCAGTTTCCCTTTATCTTTCTTTCCCCTTAGCTTCACTCAAACTCATCATTCTGTAAAAAAAAAGAAAAAAAAAAAACTTAAAAATGGAATCACTAACCATCCTAGGACCACTTCCAGTGAGATGTGCTTGCTAACTTGATTGTCTTGCAGTGCTTCACACAGTCCTCAGGGACAATTACATTATCACCAGATAAGACTGCTCATATAAGTGCTCATGGTCATCTGTATTCAGGTTATCTGGTGTTTAAATAACAGTTAAGCTCCAAATATCTTTTCTTGCTTATCAACTACACAGAAACATACATAACAGCTTCCCAAAAGACTAAAAGAGAGGCAACCTTTATCAACTTGCCTGGTCAGTTTCAGTTCATATGGTTTTCTCAAGCTTGATCTCTTAAGATGACATTGATCATGTTTCAGCTCTTCCCCAGGGCCTCCCCAGAGCACAATGCCCCCCAAACTCCAAAAGTTCCTTGAAGCCAATTGGATTTCTCTAAGCATGAGGAAGTACAACTCAAAGAACTAGGTCTATCCTAAGGTAGGCTCTAGACCTGTAGCGTGAAGGTATCTGGCCTGCCTAGAGCATCCCTGGGGGTGGGAATTGGGTTGAGCCTCTAGGTGAAAGTCTGACACTGTGCCCTTCTTTAGCTCAGCTCATGTTCAAGGCTGAATCCAAGATAATCCTAGACATCGTTTCTGGTGGAGGGGTCAAGCAAAGGAGAGAAGCATTAGCAAGCCTCTGTTCTCCCTTCCTCTATAAATCTCTCTTGGTTTATTAGAAGGCATGTTAAAGAAATCCTTTCTTTTTTTTTTTCGATATAGGGTCTCACTTTGTCACCCAGTCTAGAGTGTAATAGCATCATCACAGTTCACTGCAGCCTCCATCTCCCTGGCTCGAGTAGCCTTCCCATCTCAACCCCCAAGCCCTAGTCACTGGGACTACAGGCACATGCCACCACACCCAGCTAATGTTTTTTTTTTTTTTT